TTTTTTAATGTAATTATTAATAAACCATGGTAGTTTTCTATAGTATGAATATATCATGGTGAGTTTTTTCTTAATTTTAACTTTTATCAAACTTAACATTTTTTAAAAGTCAAATAATGGTAAGAGACTTATAACAAAAAAGTCATCAGTTTTCTTCCCTACCTTTTCCTCAGAGGCAACCACTTCCAGCCTTTTAATGGTTTCTTTTGGTATTTCTTTGTGTATCTCCGGAAAATATATTTATTCTGCTATCTTATGAGGAATCAAAATGAAACATGATATCCTGACTTATTATTGTAGTTGGCAATTCAATATTTTATTCCCCATCCTGACCCTCCCAATAAATTCACCTTGTTTTTCTGTTAAGTCAATAGTCAAAGTTCAAATTATGATTATGTGGGAATAGGACAATAGTTGTGTAGTATAATCACACTTTTTTGTACAACATATTTTACCTTCACAAAACCTGTTTTTATTTTTAATTGTTTTGTTTTACTCATTTTCTTATGTTTTTTGTTCATCCTAAATCTCCCAACCTCCAATGATCTCTTCATTTGATTAAATATATCAGATAACATGTCAGTTCCATTCCTTCCTGGAAATCTCCATTATCCCTCCCTTCCTCCTAATTATCTGACTTGATACATGGCTGAAGCCCTGGACTTGCCTTCCCCATTATACCAGTGATTCCCTTCTCTCCCTTGTTTGGGATCCCAGATTCCCTGAATGAATCAGGAATCCAATTTCTCCCTCTATTTTTTCCATTCCCTTAATTTACTAGAGCACATAGTAGCTTCCTTAAAAAGTGTATGAGAAACAAATAAGAGTTTGTGTGTCTGAAAAATATCTTTTTCGAATCTGATGCTTGATTTCTATATGTCTGGATATAGAATCCTAGGTTGAAAACCATATTTTTTTCTCACATATTTGAAGGCATACCCTCACCCTTTCCATTATTTTAATTTAAGTGCAGCATGCATTCAGAAAAGTGCATATATCATAAGTTTATAGATAAACTTTTATAAACTGAACACACTTATGTCACTAGGACCCAAATCAAGTAAAATTGTTCTTAGACATAACATAAAAATTAAGACCCAAAGAAGAAAAAAATAGATAAATTGGTTTTCATCAAAATTGAAAACTTCTGATCCTTAAAAGATTTGTTAAGAGTGAAAAAAAAAAAACAAGCCAAGTTTTTCTCACTGATTAGCAGAAAATATTTGTGGATCACATATTCAGAATATATAAAGAATTCTCTAAACTCAACAGTAAGAAATCGAACAATCCAATTAGAAAACAGACAAAAGACTTGAGCAGATGATTAAAGTGATTGCAAATAAACACATAAAAAAATGTTCAGCATTGATCATTAGGGAAATGCAAATTAAAACCACAATGAGATACCACCACACACCTATCAGATTGGTTAATATAAAAAATATTGACAGTGCCAAATACTGGCAAGGGTATAGAGAAACTGGGTGTCTCATTTATTGCTGGTGGGAATATAAAATGGTACAGCCACTATGGAAAATTGTTTAGCATTCTTTTTTTAAAAAAGTTAAGCATACATTTACCATGTCACCTAGTAATTGGACTCCTGGGCATGTATCCTAGAGAAATGAAAACATTATCTTTGCGCAAAATCTGTACATGAATGTTCATAGTAGCTTTATGTGTAATAGCCCCAAACTGGAAACAACCCAAATGTCTTTCAGCAGGTGAATGTATAAATAAACTGTGGAACATCCATATCATAAGATACTGCTTAGCATTACAAAGAAACTATTGAGGAAGGAGGGAGGGGAAATGGCAGCGGTGAGGAGGGGTCCCTGAGTTCTCCCCTGGAAATCACCGCAATTTGAACACCTGGAGCGCAGCAAACAAAACTCGGCTGCGGCCGCCGCCATTTTAGCGTTTTGTCAGAAGCGTCCGCACCGCGAGGAAGAGTTCCGCTGCTTTTCGTGTGGGCTTTGTCAAGATGGTGAAGCTATTCATCGGAAACCTGCCCCGGGAGGCCACAGAGCAGGAGATCCGCTCACTCTTCAAGCAGTATGGGAAGGTGCTGGAATGTGATATCATTAAGAACTACGGCTTTGTGCACATAGAGGACAAGACGGCGGCCGAGGATGCCATCCACAACCTGCACCACTACAAGCTACACGGGGTGAACATCAATGTGGAAGCCAGCAAGAATAAGAGCAAAACCATCACAAAGTTGCGTGTGGGCAATATCAGCCCCACCTGTACCAACAAAGAGCTTCGGGCCAAGTTTGAGGAGTATGGTCCAGTCATCGAATGTGACATCATGAAAGATTATGCCTTCGTACACATGGAGCGGGCAGAGAATGCGGTGGAGGCCATCAGGGGCCTTGACAACACAGAGTTTCAAGGCAAACGAATGCACGTGCAGTTGTCCACCAGCCGGCTTAGGACTGCGCCCGGGATGGGAGACCAGAGCGGCTGCTACCGGTGCGGGAAAGAGGGGCACTGGTCCAAAGTGTCCGACAGATCGTTTGGGCCGAGTGGCAGACTTTACCGAGCAATATAATGAGCAATATGGAGCAGTGTACGCCTTACACCATGAGCTATGGGGATTCGTTGTATTACAACAACACGTACGGAACCCTCGATGCCTACTNCCAGCTCTTAACCAACGTGCCACTCGGCCGGCCCTGTACCACCTCTTCTTTATCCATCCTTTCAACAATGGATACCCAGGCTGTCTCCACATCTTGGCCATTTTAAATAATGTTGCAATGAACATATGGACGCACACAGCCCCTTGAAGTATTATTTTGGCTTTCTTCAGATAAATACCCAAAAGTGGGATTACTGGGTTTTTCTTTGTCTCTTGTTATACCCTCTGTTTTTTTTAAATTCTTTTTTCCTTTTGCTGTTCTGATTGGGTGTTTTCTGCTACTTTGTCTTCCAAATCATTGATTCGATCCTCTGCTTCATGTAGTCTGCTGGTGATTTCTTCTAGTGCGTTCTTCATTTTCAGTTATTGTATTCTTCACTTCTGACTGGTTCTTTTCTATGGTTTCTATACCCTTTTTCATGCTTGTAATCTCTTTGTTGATGTTCTCACTAAGTTCCTTGAGCATCCTTATAACCAGTGTTTTGACTCTGTCTCTGGTAGGTTGCTTGCTTCCATTTCGTTTAGTTATTTTTCTGGAGTTTTCTCCTGTTCTTTCATTTGAGATGCATTTCTTTGTTTCCTCATTTTGGCTGCCTCTCTGTTTGTTTCTATGTATTAGGTAGATCTGCTATGTATCTTGCCAGGTTGCCTTATGTCATAGGTGCCCTGTGGGGCCCAGTGTCACAGTCTCCCTGGTCACCTGGTCTAGTGCTCCAGGAGTGTCCCTTGTGAGGGTTGTGTGTACCCTCTTGTTATATTTGAGTCTTGATTGCTATTGGCACCTCAGTGAGTAGGGTCAATCCTTAGGCTGACTGGCTGTGTGGTTTCAGCACATCCACAGCTTATGGGCTCCTGTGCTGGGAGGCTTACTACCCAGAGCAGGATTCATCCCAGTGGGCTCTGGTGCCTGTTGACACCATCCTTTGGAAGTGCCACTTTGGGGAATAATTGTGATTTGAAGCCAAACTCCAAGTATGTTGGTTCTGGGACCTCTAGGGAGGGGCTGCGGTGCAGGCCGAGGTCAGCCACTGCCTGTATCTGGCTAGGGAGTACCTGGTAGGAGCTACAAAATGATCCATGGTTGGTTGCTGTCTGCGCTGGGCCTGGAGGCATGTGGGAAAGGCCACGCTGTGAACTGAGGACAGCTTCCACCACTACGAGGCCTGGGTATGCCCTACAAAAAGCCAGGACACACCAAGGCCTGCTGCGGTTACTGGCTCCAGTAAGTTTCAGCCACCAATAAACTCTCCTGCAGTAGGGTGTTGGGTGTGGCAGGGTCTCAGTGAGTCAGCAGGGAAGAGCTTCAGAGCTCCCCAGGCCAATCAAATTCAGATTTGGCAGTAAGGATAGGGGGCGGGCTCAACACAGGAAAGATGGCATCCACCTGCAGGCTGCATGGGAGAATGACCCAACACAGTGAAAATGCCAACTGTCCTCCAGGCCTTCCCCCTGAGGCCACACACATCAGTCTACTTCCGACTGTCTCTGATGCCCCCCGAGCATCCATCCTTAGGCTGGAGCCCAAGGTAAGTGCCTGCAAATGAGTAAATCTGGGCACAGGCCATTTAAGAGGACGTCTGGGTTTCCCACAGCCTTCCATCCCACCTGGATGGTCAGAATCCCCACTGTTTTTTACAGACAGATGTTTTGGGGGCTCCTCTTCCTGGCATCAGTACTCCTAGCTGGAGATCCTGGTGTGGGGGCTGGGGTCCCTAGCTCCTCCGTGGGGAAACCTGTGGCCAAGATATTTTCCCCGATTTTCAACTGCCACACATGAGTGTGAGACCAGCCAGTTTCATGCCTTCACCCTCCTACCAGTCTCAATGTGGCTTCTTCTTTATATTCTTAGTTATAAAACTTCTGTTTAATTAGACTTCAGATGGTTCTCCAGGTTGACTGCTCTATAATTTAGTTGTAATTTTGATGTGTTCACGGAATGAGGCAAGCACAGCGTGTATCTGCTCTGCCATCTTGGATTGGTCCCCCTATAATTTTTTATCTTAAGGTAAGCATAAATTACATGGCAATTTACTAAGTAAATGTCATTTTAATGGAATTTAAAATTCCTTTCCCTCAAAAAATATCCATCAGAGCGTCATAACAGTGCTTAATAAACCTCATGAATCTTACAGTATAAGCCCCATAATGCACACTAGGCAGTTTTAATTCTTCAATATTACACCAGTGCTGTTAAAACCACAATTTTGCATTATTTCTTTAGGGTAGATTCTTAGATATGGAATTTTGATACAAAGACTGAAAAAATTTAAGTTTTTTTTCACACACACTGCTTTAAAAGTAAAGTTTACATATACTACTTACTCTCCATCAGCAGTGCATGAGTGTGTTTCACTACATCTTCTCCCTCATCAATTCTCATCACTTTTCATATTTAGTAATGTAATATATGGAATTGGTCATCTTATTGCTGTCTGAATGTGTGTACTTTGATTAATAGAAACATTAGAGATAGTTTCAGATGCTTATTGACCACTGGATTTTTTTAGTATATATAGTTCTTGTTCAGATCCTTAGTCTAGAATACTCTATAAGGCCTCAAAATATTTTTAACATTTCATAAAATTACAGTGATTCAATGAAATTTTTTCATGCTAAATTTTGGAAAATAGCAGCCCTCATTTGGAAGTGTTATATACATAACTAGTTCTCATGTCAAGTTTTTATGTTGATTAATGGGCTCAGTTCATTTTTAACTGCTCAGTTCATGATTAATTGCTCAGTTCACTTTTTTAGTTGGTCGTTTAGGAAAAGTTGGAAGAGGCAGAGTGCAGGCACACCTACTTCTGAAATCCATAACGAGAACTAACATTTATACACAGACACTGTTCTATGCACCCTACATATATTAACTACTTTAATCCTCACAACAATTCTAAAGGCAGGAACTATTTTTACAATGAGGCCCAGAGAAATTACGTTACTTACCCAAGGTTACTTAGCTAGCCGGTGGAAGAGCCTGGATTCACACCCAGACTCTGAAGTCTGGTTCCAGAGCTCTTAAACCACTTGCTTTCTTGCTATCATGAAAAGCTTGACCAAAGAATCTCAACAAAAACCAGAAAGAAAAATAACAATGAGCAAAATTAAGAGAACAAATACTGAAACCTAACTTGTAAGTTTGCACTGGAAAAAAAAAAAAGATGTGTGTTACCTACAAGCACCTGACAAAATTTTCCTATACAGAACGAACTGAAAAACCATAAGGCTTGCAAACAAAAAGGATGCTGGGAATAATACCTACTTTGTAGGTTCTTGTGAAAATGAAGACTCTAAAACAGAAACAGTTCAGAACTTTGTAATTTCTTTTAGAATGTGAAATATGAAAGGCTTTAAGATGTGCTTGGGTTCCACAAGAAAGAGAATTGAAATAATGGCACTCAGTTGTGATGAAGGAGAGAAGGCATTAGAATAGCGTGTCCCAAACATAAATGGACTTTATAAACCATTGAAAATAGTGCAGGGGGTAACAATAAGCTAGAAATAGAACATAGCATTCTCATCTGCAAACAATAGAATTCTAAACATACAGAAGAGAACAGAGGCATGGAAATCATACACAATTAAATTTGGGAAGATTTTTCTTAGGTGAAAAAGATTGGGAGAGCCTATAAAGAGCCTCTAGAAGCAATCCTACAAGCAAGGCAGCTGCTTGTATTCGTCAACTATAAAAACCTATTGGAGACAACCAAAGAGAAAAGCGAGCTTTCACTCAAAGAAAAGAAATGCAGGATGACTTGGGTTTTGCAATTTAAACCCTAGAGAAAGCGCTAGGAAAGAAACCGCAAGTTCAACAGTGAAAGAGTCTATTTCTCTCTCAGAAATGAGTTCAAAGTTATTTCAACCATAATAAGAAAAATACAGAGTGAAAGTTCAACAAACATTTTAAAGTTGCACGAAAAAAATATACTAACATGAAGGGAATTTTTGTCCTTTTCAAAAAGAACATTGCTTAAATATACCATAAAAAATTTAAAAGTATATGTATTTTGTTTATCAATTTCTAATCCATGACACTCACTTTAAAGATTGGTCCCTTGGTATTTTATTTTGATAACCATGTTATATTAGAAACCAAAAACAATACACCCTACACTGCCGGGATTCTCAGCCTAAGCACCTTTGACATTTGTGGCTGGATAGTACTTTGCTGTGAAGGCCTGTCATTTGTATATCGTAGGATGTTTAGCAATATCCCTGACCTCTACCTACTAGATGCCAGTAGCACCTCTTCCCCAGTTGTGACATAAAAAATATCTCCAAACATTGCCAAATGCCCCCTGGGGGTTAATCACTTTCCATTGAGAACCACTGTAGTAAGGCAACTTGGATAAGAAGGAGAATGACCTGTTTTAAAAAGTTATAAATGCACAAAGGTGAAATATTCAAATAGTATTAAAAGAGAAAAGTTTCCATTCTAACGCATCCTATCCCATACCCTGGAGGAGTCCTGATTTAACCATTTTTAATTTTTTTTATCAGTGCAAACAAATCCATCTCATTCTTTTCATTTTTTTCAAATTGTGTTTACATTCTATTCTAGGAAATCTGTTGCTTTTAAAACCCTTCTAACCATCACCCCAATCTAGCCCATCATCCTCCCCTCCCCTTCCAGCTGAGCCAGGGTTAGCAGTTCACTTGGTGAGTCCTTTCATATCAATTCCTATGCATTTACTTACATGACAACATCCTCATTCACAAATATGGCATTGTTGTGGGTTTTTTTAATGTAAT